CTTGGGCTATTACCACTACCACTACTACTACTACTACTACTACTACTACTACTACTACTACTACTACTACTACTACTACTACTACTACTACTACTACTACTACTACCACCTACTACTGCTACTACTACCACCACGAGTACTACCACTACCACTACTACTACCACTACTACCACTACTGCTAGCACTACTAGTGCTTGAACTAATGCTACGACGGCTACTTCTACTGCTACTGCTACTACTACTACTACTACTACTACTATTACTACTACTACGACTACTACTTGTAGTGCTACTTTTACGATCACTACTACTACTGCTGCTACTACTACTACTACTACTACTACTAGTACTTCTACTGTGACTGCCACTACTCCTGCTACCACATCTACGACCACGACTACTACTACTGTTACAGCTATCACTACTTCCAACAACTACTACCATTGCTGGTATTATTAGTACAACTACTACGACTACTATGATTACTTCTATCATTACTACCACTACTCACACTAGCTGTAGTACGGTCACGACGCCGACGATGTGTATTATTCATATGTTTACAAACATAATGTTATTTCTACTGCTGCTACTACTGCCACTAACACCACCTCGACTACTAGGATTACCACACCTTTTCCATTCCACTTACTAGTAGTAGCACGATTATGTTTATTACTATTACTATTTCTACAACTACTACTGCTACTACTATACCGACTACTTTTACCACTACTACGACTCCGACCATGTCTACGATTACTTTTACTACTACTTCGACCACTGCTACGATTGCGACTACGACTACGACCATGCCTGTGACTGCGACTAGGACTTGTGTCTGCGACTACTACGGTTGTTCTCGTTGTTATTACGGCGACTACCCGTACGACGACGACGACGCTCACTTCTAGTACTACAATTACTACTACTACGACTACTTCTATTACTGGTACTCTTACGGTTAATAGTAGTAGTAGTAGTAGTAGTAGTAGTAGTAGTAGTAGTAGTAGTAGTAGTAGTAGTAGTAGTAGTAGTAGTAGTAGTAGAAGTATTAGTAGTTGTAGTAGTAGTAGTAGTAGTAGTAGTAGTAGTAGTAGTAGTAGTAGTAGTAGTAGTAGTAGTAGTAGTAGTAGGATATAGTAATGGTGGTGGTGGTGGTGGTGGTGGTGTGGTGGAGGTGGGGGTGGAGGAGGTGGAGGTGGTTGTGGTGGTGGTGGTGGTGGTGGTGGTGGTGGTGGTGGTGGGTAGTAGTAGTAGTCGTCGTAGTAGTAGTAGTAGTAGTCGTAGTAGTAGTAGTAGTGTCACCACTACTTGTACTATTACTGCCACTTCTATTACTACTGGTTGTACTGCTGCTGCTACTATCATTTCTACTTCTACTGCTACTACTACTACTACTTCTACGACTAGTGCTGCTACTAGTGATTCTTTTACTACTACTACTACTACTACTACTACTACTACTACTACTACCGCTACTACTACGACTACTGCTTCTGCTACTACTACTACTACTGTTATTACTACCTACTACTACCTACTACTTGTTCCTCCTACTACTACTACTACTACTACTACTACTCCTACTACTACTACTACTACTACTACTACTACTCGTACTACTACCACTCCTACTACTACTACTGCTACTACCCACTACCTTGTGCCTACTACCTACTACCTACTACCTGCTACCTTCTACCCTCTACCACTACTTTTATTATTATTATTATTACTACTACTACTACGACGACTACTACTACTACCACTAGTAGTAGTACTACTACTAGTAGTAGTACTAGTACTAGTACTAATACTAGTACTAGTAGTACTATTATTATTATTACTACTACTACTTCTACTACGACGACTACTACTACTACTACTACTATGATTATTACTATTACTACTACTACTACTACTACTACTACTACTACTACTACGACTAGTAATACTGCGTCCAGCAGTGTCGACTTGAACATACCCAGGGTCCACTGATATCCTTGCCGGCTCGCAGAGGAGAGCGAGGGCGTGCGCGTGGGCCCGGAGCCCTGCTCTTCTCCTTCTCGATCCTCCTCCTCGTCCTCCACCGTCCGTTCTCTTTATGCGAACGCTCCACCGTGTCGCATCCCGAGGGCGTCGGTAGGGCCGTTCATGATTTCGAAGCCCGATTTGTGCAACAGTTTTACAGATGGAGGGCGGCTGGTTTTCAAAATGGGGCTCTTCCTTTAGCGCCGCGCACAGTCGTTTTGAAAGTTGGAGAAAATTTCCCGGGTGGACGACTGGCCGTTTTCAAACCGTGACTCTCGTTGTCGCACCGCGCACATGGGGGTGGTTCCTCTTCAGAGTGTGGTTCTCGCGTATGCGCCGTGCGCACTCGTCATACAAATTCGCCAGGATTGTAAGGGTTCTGATGGTTGACGTCCCAGGAAGAGCGTTCCGGCACGACTTAAGATTGACAGGCCTTTAAGTTGGTTCGTGTTTTTGAAGTCCCCATGATGGCATTCTCGAGCATCACGTCACGACGCAACAGGAACATTTGTTCGCGGCGTTGAATCCCAGGACAAAGGTGTTTTGGCGCACGGTTGAGAGTTCTCAAACCGTTGTCTTTCGACGGTTCATTTGTTTGCATTGAATAGACATTCTTGTAGGGACCTGTGAAGAATCAACTTGGAAAGGGGGGGGTATATTTACATCTTTGATGCTTTTTGGGTTAACGCTGGTCCTCCTCCTGATCCTCGTCCTCCTTTTCCTCCTCCTCCCCCTGCTCCTGCTTGTCCTCCTCCTCGTCCTCCTCCTCCTCCTCCTCCTCCTCCTCTTCCTCCTCCCCCCATGGGCTTTGTGAGGGAAAGGGGTCCCCAGTTCTTTGTTGTGTCGTTTTCGAGCCTTCAGGTCTCTCCACCCCGACGACGGGACATGATCACCACCACCAAATTGGGAAGAACGCGATATCTCTGTTGGCGCAGTGTGACTGTTGTGGGAAACCCGCCGTCCCTCTAGCTCAGGGGCAACAGCGGGGCTCATCAGCACAAGCGCGGTGGTGGTGTTGTAGGTTGAACCGAAAAAAGTTCAGCTTTATGCGCCACCACCAAGTCGGGTTTCTGTTTCGGAGACTCCACCTCGATGGCGCATATCCTCCGCGGTGTGCGCCTGTTCGCCGCGGGGGCGTGGCGTCGTCTGGCACGGCCCTGATGAGCTCCGATGGTTTTAGCGAATATCTTTTTCTGGTGGTGTTGGTGTGTGTGTGTGTGTACCTGTGTGTATATATGTATGCATGCGTGCCTTTATGTATGCTTGTTTGTATATATACATATACTCATATAGAATATATTTATATATATATGTATGTATATACGTGTATTTGCATGCTTGTATACAATCATTTATGTATGTATGTATGTATACGCACATACGAAATTAGGTGCCTGCATGTGTGTAAATATCTGCACTCACAGGTAGCTGTACATGTTTATGACTATGTATCTGCATGCATGTATGTGCGTATTTCTATTTATATGTATACGTATATTCGTATGCCTGTGTAGATGTGTGTGTCTGTGTACTCGTACTTGTATGCGTATATGTATAGGTATATTTATATATTTATGGTGACGTGTATGTTTATGTATATATTTGTGTTTTGTTCTACGCATCGTTATATGAACATGTTTGTGTACTATGTACATGTATTTTTGGGTGCAAGTAATTTTCGTGCATATATGTACACATATACAGACATATACGTATGCGTTATGTATATGTATGTTTTCATGTTTGTGTTTATGTAAATGCAGAGGTACATTTTTCATTATATTTGTACATGTCATATACATGCATTACATTTTCATATTGATATGTATACATATATGCATATATGTATGTTTGCTGGTGCATATGGCTTCCTTTGTATGTACGAACTATGTGTAGGCTTGTGTCTCTCTCTATATATATATGTTTATGTGTATTTGTATTGGTATATGTACCTGTGTATGTATATGTATGCGTGTGTGTATGTGTATGTGTTTATGTTTATGCGTGGGTACATTCATATGTTTATGTATTTGCATATTCATTTGCATATGTATATGTATATATGTATATATGCATATACATACATAGGTCTATGTTCATGTCTATGGCCATGTCTATGTATATGCCAACGTCTATGTCTGTGTATATATACATATGTATACATCGCTGTCTATGTCTCTGTATATGCATGTGTAGATGTATATGATTAGTTGTTATATGTATGTATGTATATATATATATGTATATGTATGTAGGTGTAGTCATGCATATTTGCATATATACACATCTCCATACCCATATATATAAATATGTTGATACACATACACACATATATATATGTGTGCATATATATATATATATATATGTATATATACATATGTATATACGTATATATATATATATGTATGAGTACATACATACGTATATGGATGGATGGATGTCTGTCAGTCTGTCTGTTCAAGACCGTTTCGGGATGAATCGCTGGTCCTGGGGGAGCCCCTGGAGTCCAGGGGCGACAGCCCCAGGGTCCGTTTTCCTTATGCTAAACGACAGGTGTCTAGGGGCTCGCATCGTCTGGGGTTTCGACGAGGCCCCCCTGGCGAATGTGTGGGATGTCCGACCCTGGACATCCTGCTAGCGGTCACAAAATGGCTCGATGAGGCAGCGTGACCTTGGGGTCTTTGAAGGGCAGTCAGCCTGTCGGTCTCTGCTCTGGAATGTAAGTTACCACATATCCTTGCATACCAAATCGATGCATGAACACGACAAACAGATGCATTTTTTTCCCATTGCGGCCCCCCCGGAAGTTCAGATCCTTTTCCCAGGGCCGGTTTCTAATCCCGAGCCGTTTTTGACGGTCCCCAGGCCTTCCGAGGGCCCCCAATGGCCGAACAAGGTTGAAAATTGTCCGTCGCGATTTCCTTTTACGACGCGAGTGTGTCTGGGTCCCTGCTTTCGCCTGCAAGGAGGCCGCCCACCTGGAGCAGCTGGACCGCGCCCGGCGCCAGTTCGAGGAGGACCGCCGCGTGGCTGCGCGTCGCGGCCTCGCGCAGCAGGCCTCCTCCGACGCGGGCTGGCCCGCCTGCGGGCGCCAGCTCGGGCAGGCCGAGGTCGAGGAGGGCGGCGCGGGCTGCGAGGGCGCGGCGGCCGCCGCGCCGCTGGCGCGGCCAGACGGCGCCGCCGCAGCGGCCGCGGGGGGCGCCGCTCTGGAGGGGCCGCAGGCGCCCGCTGGCTGCGAACGGACGTCGGCCGTGGCGCCTCAGGCCCTGGGGCTGCCGCTGCGCGCCGCTGCCGTGGAGGCGCAGGCGGTCACGCTGCTGCCGCAGCCGCAGGGCGTGTCCTGCGAGCGGACGCGGGTGCCCCAGCCTGGTGGGGAGGCTCAGAGGAGGAAATGCTGCCGCTACCGCCATCCTTGCTTCGTTTTCGCCTTTTTGGGTCCTCGGAGACCCTCGTCGCCGCGGCCGGATTCGCTTCAGAGTTCTGGTCAGATCGCACCCCAGGAGAGTCCCAGGGAGTCGCGGTGTCGGTGCACTTGGGTTTCGCCAGAGGCGTGGCCCGATTGGCAGACGCAGGCCGCAGGAAGACTAGCGGCGGCTGGACGGCAGGTGTGGGTCACCGTCGGCGCGGATCTCGCGGCAGAGGCGTGCTCGCCGCTGCTACCGCCAGACGCGACGGTATGCGAGCAGACCAGCGTGTCGCGGGTGTCCCACGACCTCGCGCGGCTGGAGGTCCTGTTTGCTGCAGTCGTGGACCTCGGCGGCGGCAGTGTGGGCGCCGCGGCCACCCTGGCGGCGGAGGCTGCGGAGCGCACCCTCGGGCTCGGAGAGCTGGCGCTGTCTGGTCTGGAGCACGGTGAGGCTGCGCTCCCACCAGTCCTGGAGGTCACCCTGCCGCCAGTCTTGGACCTCACGGTGAGCGCGGCCTCGGTCAGCTCGCTCGCGCTGTGCGCAGCGACGGCAGCCGCCTGCGAGGAGGCCGCCGCTGGCACTGCGGTCGGGCCAGAAAGGCTGGAGGAGCAGCCGCGGTCGGCCCGCGACGTCGTGCGGGCCGCACAGGTGCCTCCCGTGCCCGCCGCTGGCGCCGCCGTGGCGCCGCCCGCGCCTGGCCCCGAATTCGAGCACGGGCACCAATTTGACGGGCGAGCCGCCCGCGATCTGTCCCCCGGCATCGGGGGCACTGAGCCTCTGGGACCAGAGGCCGGCCCGCCGCGGCAGCCGCACCCAGAGGGTCCGGCCGGGCGCCCGCCGCCTGCCCAGAGGTGCTGCTGCGCTCTGATGTGAGCAAGAGCGTCAGAGGAGGAGAACATGATCACCGATACTGCTACCCTTGCCTCGTCCTCGCCTTCTTGGGCCTCCTGGGAGGCCCTCGTCGCCACGGCTGGATTCGCTTCGGATTTCTACCACGGAAGAGGTCCGGGTCAAGTGCGATATTGGCACTTCTTTGGTTTCCCCTCAGCGCGCGTGTGACCAGCCTGGCCGAGAGGGCGCGCGGAGCAGGTGCAGAAAACACGGAGCATCACGCGCGGAAGTGGCGCAGCCTGTGGCTCCGAAGGCGTGCGGTCGGCCCCTGGCAGGCAGCCCCAGAGCCCTCACGGCCATTGCTGGGGGCGGCTCGAAACACGGGCCAGGATGGGCCCTTGGAAGGGTCGGGGGGCCAGTTCTGGGCGGGTTTTGGCCAGGGGCGGGACGTGGGCTTCCGACCATGTGGCTTCGAGAAGACCTTCTTGGCAGCCTCGCGGACGCCCAGCCAGGTCACAGGAGCAGGAGCGTGAGCTGGTGCTGGGACAGCTCTCTGCCGCAGCACAGTGGGACGTTCGGTTCCTCTTCGGTCCCCGCCCCCGTCGCACCGCCCCTGGCCCAAAGTCTGAGGGCGCCAGCTAACCCTGGAACGCATTATCGACCCGCCCCCCACCCTCCCCCCTGCTTGGTAGAAATCTATCACTGTCCGGCATCCGGAACGGCAGTGAGATTCTGCCCCCGGAACTCTCAGTGCGGGATCCCACCAAGATCACATTATGATCCCAACAAGACCCCAAGAATTCCCGAGGTGTCCTGAGGATTCCTGAGGATCAGGTTCCTTGAGGATTCCTGATGGTTCCTGAAGTATCCTGAAAGATTGCTGAATGATTCCTCAAGGATTCCGCAAAGATTCCTGAAGGACTCCTGAAAGTCTCTCGGCTTCTTGAGGATTCCTGAATATTCCCGAAGATTCTCACGGAGCCCTGAGGATTCAGGAAGGTTTCTTTATCGTCTCTGAATGTGGTTCCTGGGGAGGAAGATTCCAGGCAGGCTACATCCCTTGTCGCCATGGCTGGATTCGCAGACTCGTCGCTCCAGGTCGGTCCTCCTTCCGCCCTTGTCCGAGGCGGGGTACCAAGTGTTGGCATTCGCTGCCGAGGCAGTCTCGCTTGCTCCCGGTCCTCTGAGGTTCCCCTCTTCTGTGGCTCGCAGGCGGCGTCTCTGTGGCGCCGCATCATCGACAATGTAGTTTCTGTTAAGTTAGCCAAGAGTATCCACAAGCTACCTCCGGTGGCTTACGCTGACAGTTGCACGTTTGTCCACTATGACAACGATGTGAATTCAGGACTTCATTATTATGAAGCAGAAGGCACCGCTCTTAGCTTTCACGATGTAACTGGATCAACACATTTAAGAATCATCCAGTGCCTGAAATCCACCGAACCTCAAGCGGGCTTCGACCAGGATGTGACAAAGTTTGAGGAATTAGCGGATCTACCGACAAAGGGCGGAACCGCAAGAGAAGCCCCAGAAGCCGAACCACCACAGGAGGATGGACGGCTTCCCACGATATATGAGGATTCGGAGGCTGACCTCGAGGCACATCTTATGAAATTGTGGTATACAGAACTACAAGATGAAAGGGAACTACTGGAGGCAACTCCACTAGAAGACCGTTTCGCAGTACCCGCGCAGATGATTCCAGACAGCCGTGTGCTGATCATTGTAGCTGAAGAACAGCGGGGGCACCTGCCTAAGTGGGGACACCCACGCAACTCCGACATCGAGGATACGCATCATGTCCCACTGTGCTCCACGGTCGAAAATTGCAGTTACAGATTGGACTCAGACGAAAAAGGACAGTAGGTATAACTCTGTTTACGACAGAAATGTCAAAGGTAGGCCTATCGGAACAACAGTGCAGGATATTCTATGCCGACCGTGTTGCACCGTGCGAATATATATATATATATATATATATATATATATATATATAGCCGCCGCCGCAAAGCGAGTTGTGGTCGTCAAAGAAGACGACCTCTTCGCGAAGGCTGACATCCAGGCGAATCTCGAGAGAGTATCGAACACCTTATACACTGAACTCAAGACATGGCTTGACAACAGGTTTTTTTCAATGTACAAGATTTATCCAAAGCGTCAAACATCCTGACTTCGAGGTGTTCGTACACATTGAACTTCGTGGAGGACGAGAAGGGCGAGATGGAACGTGCCATCAGGTTACGCCTAGTGCTTTGAGGCTTCATGGGCCTCGAAGCTTTCGACGTGGAGACCTTGTCAGGAACGAGCGGAACGGCACGCCGGTCAATCCAAAGGCTTCTCGCCAGCGCGGCAGCGTGCAAGAAACAATGGATCATTGCTTCCCTCGGCATCAACATGGCCTTCCTGGAAGGGTTGACGTACCAGGAACTTGCTGAGGCAACTGGTGAGAAAGAACGCGTGGTGTGCTTTACTCTGCCGCCTGGATCGGCTACGGTGCTTCGAGCTCTCCCAGGATTCGAGCACTACGGCGAGTCGAAGCACTGCTCGCAGTGCCTCGAGCCAGGTACTGGCACCAAGGACGCACCTCGAGCTTTCTCACTACAGCTCAGAAGGACCGCAGGAGGTTTCGGTCTCAGACTCACGTGCTGCGACGAGGAGTTCGAGACGAGCAGCAACCTGTTCGCGGCCAAACATGTTGATGACATCAATCTGGCCGGCACAGAGGACACCATTGACAAGTGCGTCAGGTGCGTGGAGGACACCTGTGGTAAGTGTAAACTCAACAATCACACGTGCACCAATTGTGCTGTGAGATATACCAAGGATGAGGACGGCAGTGTTACGTTTGACCAATACGAATACATCAAGCAGCCCCGTCCTATTACAGGCGCCGACGATGACGCTCAAACATCCAAGATGGTTGCAGACATGTTCGTCAGCCTCAGGGGCGCATCGGCGTATGCATTAACCACCCAGGTGTGGTTGATGGTATATGTTGTCTCTCGACAACGTCTCCAAGAACCGACCAACATGCAAGTGCGACGGCTGAGCGCGATTACCAGGGAACTGCAGGCCTGCCCTAAGAAGATCGTCTACCAAGCGATGACTCCCACGGGCGAAGTTGACCTGTACAGCGACTCAGGTCGTCGACGCCTGATTGGAGATGCCGATGACGAAGTCAAAGACTATGGTATTCGCGGGGCAAACCTGCTTCGGCGTGGAAGCGCGCCATCTGGCAAGCCTGTCGTTCACTTGATTGATGCGTGCTGTAAGTCTCGCCGCTTCCAGGTTCGCTCGAGCTATTCAGCATATTCAGCAGAGACACTAGCAGCGGCCCGCAATTCGGATGACTGCTATCCCACGATCGTGACTCTGCGCGAGCTCCACGCAGGGCCGTTAACTCCCACTCAGTTGAAAGACGTACTTGAGTTTGGTGGCCTGAGCATCAAGGTCACTTTGGCCATTTTTTTTTGGGGGGGTTCTTGTTGTTTAACATATATATATAAATCAAGTCCTTGTCAAGCAAAGACTTGAAGAAACCAGCTGGGTGTACCCTTTTAGGACATCAGCTGGATACGACAGACGATGGAGCGAGGAATCGTGCACAGTATTCAATGGTGTGACACCCACGACATGACCGCGGACGGCCACACAAAGGGGAGCATCGACATATAAATGTTCCTACAGGTCATGGGAGGTACGCAGTCCTTCAAACATGATTTAAAGCGTCATGCTCCTTATCGGGCGGGGCAGACATTTCGGTCTGCAGCCGCCTGAGGAGTACTCGTATGCACAGCAAGGTGCAGGCAAGGGAACTTGCGCGCGGGGTCCACCTTACTTATGGCCCCGCCCTTTTGCTGCCCTTTTGTACATAGTAGCTGCTGTGCCTGCTGTCCAGAGGCGGCGGACTCACGTTTCGTCTCCCTCCCCCCCGATTCTAAAGTGAGCTGGGGACACAGGTGAGTGGAAGCGAACGTGTGCCCGCGGCCGCTTGGCTCAAAGCGGCCGGCCGCCCAAATCTGACCACGCCTCAGTGCGAGGTGTACCATTCGCCATCGAGACCGAAAACATCCGTCGCTTGAGATGGCCCGTCGTTCCCGGGACGACCTCCCGCTACTGGGACTATCGCTACTACGCTACAACAGAGCTGGAGCTGGGCTTCGCCTAAGGCGAGGCTGCTGGTTGGGCCCTCCAACCCCTCTCAAACTCTGGGGCCTCTTGGGGCGTCATCGGGATCTCTTGGGAGCCTCTTGGGGTCATCTTGGGGGCCTCTTGGGGGCCTCTTGGGGCCTCCCGGGCACCTTATGGAGCCGTTTCGGGGCACCATCGGGAGCTTCGGGGGCCATCTCGGGGTCACCTTGGAGGAGATCGATCAAAGAAGGGGCAGGGTCCGATTTCGCCCCCTCGCAGGAGACCAACATCTGTCCAAAACGAATTATCCCGGCGAAAAGCCTAACCACATGCAGTTGTGACTATCGCCGTTGTGGGTGTCGCCCTCGGTGGATTTCTTTCAGGGACCACGAAACGTGTAAAAGGTGTGCCGAAGTGGGGCGGTGACGCATGTGGGCGCAGCCATTGGGGCTTTCGGTGGCGCTCCATTTGGGGCCACGACCCGTGTGAGGGGTGTGCCGGAATGGAGCGGGGCCGCCATGTGAACTTCGCTATTGAGGCCTTCGGTGGAGCTTCCTACGGGGCCACGGAGCGCTGTATTGAGTGGGGAGGAGACCCATGCGAACACCGCCACTGGGGCCTTCGGTGGAGCTTCCTATGGGGCCACGAAGCGTTGTGCTGGGAAGGGGAAGTGCATGCGAACACCGCCGCGCAGGCCTTCGGTGGAGCTCCTTATGGGGCCACGAAGCGTTGTACTGGGTGGAGGAGACGCATGCGAACGCAACCACTGGAGCCTTCGGTGGAGCTCCCTATGGGGCCACGGGGCGCGGTGCTGGGTGGGGGAAATGCACGCGGACACCGCCACTGGAGCCTTCGGTTTAGTTCCCCATGGGGCCACGACGCGTTCACCTGAGTGTGGGAAGCGCTTGCTGACACCGCCATTCGGGCCTTCGGTGGAGCTCCCTATAGGACCACGACACGTTCTACTGGGTGGGGGAAACGCATACGGACACCGCCACTAGGTCCTTCGGTGGAGCCCCTACGGGGCCAGGACGTGGTGTACTTACTGTGTGTGGGGGAAAAGCATGAGAACCATGCCACTGGGGCCTTCGGTGGAGCTCCCCATGGGGCCACGAAACGTGTGAGGCGGCATGGGAACGCAGCCACTGGGGCTTTCGGTGGAGCTCCTTATTGGGCCACGAAACGTGTGACGGGTGTGCCAAAGTTGACAGGTGACGGCATATGAACGCAGCCGCTGGGGCTTTCGGTGGAGCTCTTTATTGGGCCACGACGCGTGTGAGGGGTATGCCAAAGTGAATGGGTGACGAGAGGAGGAGGAGGAGGAAAGGGCAGCGGGAGAAGGAGTAGGAGGAGGAGGAGGAGGACCGGAGGCGACGCGAGGATTGTCTCTTCAAGACGAGGACCCAACACCACAGGATGGTTGTGACAAATGATTTTGACCTTCTCGCCGAGGCCATCTTGGACGCTCTAACGACCCACGGCCCCGCCCCTCCAGATCTAGGGGGAGGGGATAGGGGGAGGGGCTCCCCAAAGGGGAAGAAGAGGTGTTGGAAGAGGAAACTCCCTAAGTCACTCACGCCCAGAGGGCTGGTGGGATTAGGGTGCTAAGGATATCGCCCAGCCCCCCCCGGAATTAACTTATCAGTTTTGGTGCTACGGATAATGGGGGGATCGAAAATGGGTTCCTAAGGTTATACGCTTGCACCGATCCTGGCTTGGCCGATCCTTGGCCCAGGATCGGTGCACATGCCTTCCTTGCCAAGCTAGAAGGGCGTGCACACCGATCCTGCCCCTGGACCCCCGTTTCATTCCCGCGCGTGAACCTCGGAAGGACGACAAGGTGAGACGTCCAATTCTGCGGGGATTGCTGGATCATGCTGGGCCACTTTGCAGTGATCGACCGCCTGGCTCTCGCCGCGCTGGGGCATGTTGCAGTGTCGGCTGACTGTCCGGTAGGGCTATCTGGCTTTCCACAAGTGTCCCCCCCCATTCTTGCCCCTGGTCACTCCCTCTTGACCCTGCTCTGCCCATCTGCAGCCATTCGGCGCCAGAGTCCCCCCCCCTCCGCTGCGCCGTCGGCCGGGCCCGCCCCGCCCGTGGCGGCCCGAGAGGAGGAGGGGAAAGGGGGCACCCCCTCCCTCCCTCCTTCCCTCCCTCTCTCTCCCTCCCTCCCTCCCTCCCTCCCCTCCTCCTCCTCTTTCTCCCCATTGCTTCTCGGCTCCTCACTCATCCCTCCTTTCCTGCCGCCCAGGGGCGCCTGAGTGGGTCCCCATCCTTGTCGCACAGGGGGACCCCCAGGCTTTGGGGTTAGGTCCTTGTCCGACAACGCCTCGGCAGCTAACCTGCCCGGCCACTCGCGCCTCCAGAGCACGCGGCCGCAACCCTTCTTCTCCCTCCCTCCTCCTTCTCCTCCTCCTCCTCCTCCTCCTCCTCCTCCTCCTCCTCCTCCTCCTGCGGGGGGGGGGAACGGAAAGGAGGATCCGAAAGCGCACACAAGGCTTGCGGGGCTTGGGCAGGGATGGCCCGCGTCGGGCCGAGGCGCCAGACCGAGGTGGGGTCCACTGCCTCATCCTCCTCCTCCTCCTCCTCCTCCTCCTTCTCTTCCTCTGTCCTCCTCACTCCCGGGGAGCCTCCAGATATGGCACTCGGCCGTTCACGCCCAGAGTGTGGGGATGTCTCAGGCGGTCTGCCTGTTCAGTTGGCCCGACTTCTCTTTTCTTTTCGTAGCCCATTGCTCAATGCGATGCAGCAGGCGTGGCACTAAACCACTCAGAAGGGGAATCGCCATGGGATCGGAAATTTGCCCGTTCACGCCCCTGGCGCGCGCGCCAGGGAGGCAGGCCCAGCGCCGACCCCAGAACTCCGCGTGGACCTCCGAACATTGACGTGTATGTCGCTTTGTCAAGTTCTGTAGACTTCCGCCTTCTCACCGTGTTTCCACTTCCCGTCTCCGTCCACCTTCTTCGTCCTACGCGTCTTCGTTCGCCTCCCCCTGCGCGCGTCGGCTGCGACATGGGGTCAGCGAGCCGGATCGCTCGGGGAGGCGGCACAGAACATATTCGACAGATAATTTTCCGCGGTTCAGTTCGTCCCCGATATCATTCGGGTTGGGACTACCCATTTGCATGTTCCTTAGCATCTGCGCCAGTGCAACTCCCGAAGTTGTTTTCGCCGACGTTGGCGCGTAAGCTGCCCATTTAGGGTCGCGTTCAGGTGCCCCCGATTCCAATGTCACGTGCCGTGACGGCGGCCTGCGTTCACCACCGCGAATTGTCGCCATGCCATCTCGCGTCAGACGCGTTTCTTCCCGTCGGTCACGCGAAACCAGCGCAGACCCCAGAAAATTCAGGGGAAGAGGATGGGGGGAGGTTCGACGATCGAGGTCCGAGGTTTCCTGGGTGTCGACAATTTTTTCGAGGTCCGAGGTTTCCTGGGTTTCAAACGTTTGTTCCGCAGCCGAGACTGAATCCAATTGGAACCATTCGCGCGTTTGGACCCGGGGGTGGGCCCAGAAACTCCTCCCCCCACGCTGGCCGAGCGTGCCAGGACACGCTGGGCCCGATGTAGACCCCACGTGGACCCTATGTATGGAATCAAAAGACCGACGCGAGAAACAATCAGGAACGTGACACCCTCGTGGGCCGTGCGCTGTTTTGCGGACGTCGTCATCGTCGTGACTTCGTCGTCGTCGTCGTGGTGGTGGTGGTGGTGGTGGTCGTCGTCGTCGTCGTCGTGGTCGTCGTCGTGGTCGTGGTCGTGGTCGTGGTCGTCGTCGTCGTCGTCGTCGTCGTCGTCGTCGTCGTCGTCGTCGTCGTCGTCGTCCTCGTCGTCGCATCCCCGTCCCGCCCGTCGTTAAACGCAGCGTCGGCACCTTTCCTGGCCCATGCCAGGGCTGTCCGTGCTGGTCCGCCCAGGCCGTGGGATGGGGCGTTTTCTGCCCCATTTTCCTCGCCAGCCTCGCGAGCCTCGCCTTTACACCATTGCAGGGCTCATTCTGCCGCCCGCAATGTGAGGACGTCCGAAGGAAGATCGCTGCGGCGTTCGGTTGGCCAGCTCGTTTTTTATGCTATGTTTCATTTCTTTGGCAGGTTTGTTGATTCTTCGCTCGGTCCTGGCTTGCTGTTCTACTTTGCCCCGGCTCCTATGCGGTCTCTGCCACCGCCGCCGTCGTACTCGCGCTGCGCCCCTTCCCCCGCGATCTGTCCGTTTATCATCTTTGGCTACACCCCATCCCCTCGCCCTGGAGGCGCCCGCGCCGCCAGGGCGTCTCAATCGAAAACGCTTCGACGCGTGATCGGTCTGGTTGGTTTTGGCGGTCGGGTCGGGTCGGTTGGTTGGGCGACTGGCATCACTGCTTGGTGCTGCTTTCTCGCGGTGCCACGCGCTTCCTGGTGCTCACAAGGCAAGCGGTGCTCACAAACCCTGTGGCGCTCAGCTGGTGCGAGGTGTGCACAGGGATTCGCAGGGTCTGCACGACCCTTGTGGTGCTTGCACAGGGCTTGTTGTGCTTGAAAGTCGTTTGCTCGAGGCCAATGCTGTTGCGACTCGCGCAGTTCTCGCGGCCTGTCCAGTTCGAATATGCCATGCGGCCAGGGCGTCCCATGCAGCCTCCTGCGAACTCTTTGGCCCATGCGGCTTGCTCGGCCCTCGGTCGAGGTTCGCTGTATATCATGCGCCACGCGCGATCCGTGCGGCCATTGGCGATCTCATCATGCGGCGCCTTCAGCTCATGTACCTTATAATCCATGTGGCACAGGCAAATTCCAGTAGCCCAAGCAAATGCCAGTCCGCGCTCAGGTGTCGCCGTTGTCGCCTTACCCCGTCGACTTTTTCACAGGTGCAGCGACAGGGGCGACATTTGCACGCGGTTTGCGATTCGCTTGTTTTCGTATCACAATTGTATTTGTGTCCGGCCAGTCGGCGGCACGCGATATATTGTGCCAAACTCATGCATTTTGCATGGGCTTCTGGCAGTTGCATCGGTTTCCAGCCCAGATTGTATCGTACATGTAAACGGAATTCATATTCCATGTCGCAATTTGCATCTACAGAAGTCGACGGATCGAATTTTGGTTGTTACAGGTATTTTTCCGTGTAGTGCTTTTAGTTTTAGTATTCGTTTCACGTGTCAACTCTTTCACGTTTCGTCATGGTTCGTGCTTTGAAGCGCAGTGTCGAACACGCATGCCCAACACGAGAGCACCTTTTCTTTTCGGACGTATGGCTTTCTCTCCACAGGCACAGCGTCGAAACTTAATCGCATTCAGAGCTATTCTTTCGTTTTTATGTCATGTCCGTGTCGCGTCGTCGTCGCCGGGCGTCGTCGTCGTCGTCGTCGTCATCGGCGTCGTCGTCGTCGTCGCCCCGTCATTGTTTCTCTGTGGCGGTTGCCCGCCGAGTAATTCTATCGCGCTTGCCAGATGTCAGGGGGCCCAGGCAGGGTTTTCGCAAAAGTTTGACGACGGCTGAGTGCAGAGTCGGGCTGCGTGGGATGGACATTTCGACGAGATGTGGCGGGCAGGTGGAGTGCTCGCCAATGTTGTGCCCGGCATGATTTACAACTTCTACATCTTCGGCGAGCGGGCGGGGGGAGGCCGTTGGTCGGGCACGGGCGACAGAGTCAGAGCACAGCGTGGCGCTCGCGCGAGTGACGTGCTTGGAGGCACCAGACTACCTCTCGTTCCGCCAGGGCGTCAGGGTCGACCCGCGGCTTTCTCGCAGTCAGTCCCACCATCGGCCTCCAGACCTCATCTCTCATCGGGTGGCTCGTGCTGTAGCGACTGTGCTGGTAGCCCGTGCCTGGATGATCTCTGCAAGACCCAGGTAATCCGAAGTATCCAGCTTCCTGCGGCAAGCCCTGCCACCTTGCCTGAGCAGCATCGGGATCCATGAATGGCGGTGCTGTGGGGCTTCCTCGGAGGGCCAGTCGGCCTGTGCACAATCCTTTGTCACAGAACGGGTCTGACGAGCTAAGGTGTCGGAGTATGCGCCCCGATGGTCGCCACCTCGTTTTTTTCCGAGACGCGGCCCCCCGACCTCTCGACCCCGAGAAGTTGTTTGACGGTCCGAAGACCCCAAACCGGCCCCCGGAGGCAGGAAACGCAAAGCATTTGCTGTCTCGATGGTTCTTGTAGACGCTGGAGGTATGGACATCATTTGCTTGTGGGACATCCAGTCGAGCGCATCTATGTATGAGCCGATAGAGGCTGCAGGAACTCTTGACGCTTCGCGTAACCCCACCAGCTCGCCTCGCTTCCGTGTGTCCCGGCCGGAGTTTGGCGCCGACAGGGCGACTTCCCCGCGCTGCTACAGTACACATGGCTAGCCGTACAGCTGTTGCCGTCGCTCGCCGCATCGTGTGGTGCGAATTCCACACGCTGGACGCTGTTACCGCGGCGCGTCGCGGCGTGGCGTCTCCACCCGTTGGGACTTCCACAGCGGTTTGCCGTGCTCAATTAGGGTCATCCGTCCCTTGCATCACTTCTAATGAGGGTCATTTTGTCCCTCGCGCGTGCACTCGCCTTTGCGGCTTACGCGCTGCTTTGGCCAATTATCTACGGCGTGTGCCCCGGCCGTTGATCCCGCTTCCTGACCCTTGTCTTGGAGCCGCCGACCAAAAAGTAACCCCGCCAGCAGTTTGCCTGTTCCGCCGTCCCGGACACGCCTGTTGCCGCCAGACCATTGTCGCGCGGCCGCCGACCAACAAAAATGTACCCCCACCAGCCAGCAGCTAATTAGGTTTGCCCGTCGGCCCGTACACCCTTCTCGCCGCCTGCGCTCTTCGCTGGTGGCCGCGACCAAAAAGCGTGACCCCACCAGCCCATCCAGAAACGATGCCCATAGGAATTGCCTCGATCAGGAAAGTGGGCAGCACACAGAGGAAGGGTCCCCCAGAGGAGGCCTCTTGGAGCGTCTTGGGGGCCCCTTGGTGGTCCCAGACGCCTCTTAGAGCGTCTTGGGTGCCTCGGAGAGCTTCTTGGGGCCTCTTGGGGCTCTCTTGGGAGCCTCTTGGAGGCCTCTCGGGCGCCTGTCGGGGCCTCCTGGGCGCCTGTTGGGGCCCTCTTGAAGCGTTCTTGGGGAACTTGGGAGCGCTCTTGGAGCCATCCTGGGCCATCTTGGAGTCATCTTGAGGCTTCGGATGGACATCCGAAACGAAAAGGCGAGAAAGCCAAACACATCATTTTTTTTCGAAGGTGTTGGAAGGACTTTGGCCTCTTCGGGGCCGTCCTGGGTGGCTCTTTGGCCACTTGGAGCCGTCTTGGAGCGGTCTTGGGGCCTCCTGGAGCATCGTGGGAGCCACCTTGAGGCATCTCGGGATATCTTGAGCCATCTTCGAGGTCATCTTGGGCTCTCCCAGGCGCTCTTGGAGTCATCTTAAGCAGTGTGTGTGTGTGTGTGTGTGTGTGTGTGTGCTCCCCCCTCCAGGAGGCCAACATGTGGCCAAAACCCTAGTGTATATATATATATATATACACATATACATATACACAAACAGTGATTTTGGCATTATCGCCGAGGCCTCTTGGAGCGTCTTGGGTGCCCTCTGGGGGGCCTCGTGGGGCTTCTTGGGGGTCTCTTGGGAGCCTCTTGGGGGCATCCTGGGGGCCTCTTGGGGGCCTCTTGGGGTCTCCTGGCCACCTCTTGGGGCCCTATAAGGGGCACCCTTGGGAACCTTGGGAGCGCTCGTGGGGCCATCTCGGAGGAGATCGATCAAAGAAGGGGGGGTTCCTTAATTAGCGCTGCCCGCCCAAGAAGCCAAAATGGGGCCCAAACCTAAGTAAAACCAATGATTTCGGCTTCCTCGCCGAGGCCGTTTTGGACGCTCCGACCGCTCGCGGAACGCCCCGTCCAGGTCCAGGGGAGCGGGTAGGGGGAGGGGTAAACCCCTCCCCCAAGGGGGAGAAGGGGGTGGAAGAGGAAACCCAAAACCACCTACGCCCTAAAGGGCTGGTGGGATGTAGCAGACAAGTCAGGTTCAGTTCTCGATGCGGAGGCCATGGCCATAGACGAGGCTTCGCGTGGCGCTTACGCCCTTCAGTGCTGAAACTCTTGACGCTTCGCGAAGTTCCACTAGCCAATACAGAAACGATCTCCAGTCGAGTGGTCCTGATCAGGCAAATTTGGGAGCATCCAGTATACCATACAGGTGACTCAACCGTCAAGCCCAAGCTCGGAGTCAGTCTGAGCATTCCCACGAGTGAAATACAGAGCCTGCCGTCGAAGGAGGAGCAGGATGAGGAGGATAAAGTGAAGAAGGAGGAATGAGAGGAGGGAGGAGGATGAAGAGGGAGGAGGAGGAGGAGCAGGAGGAGGAAGAGGAGGAGGATAATGAGCAGGAGGAGCAGGAGGAGGAGGAGGAGGAGGAGGAGGAGGAGAACGGAGGCGGAATGGGGGCGACGACGACGGCCCTCATAAGGACGAGGAAGAGGACCATGACGGCAGGAGTCGGCCATGAAGACCTTCGCGGACCCTTCGCTTTAAAAGTCTCCTTGTAATCTTCTTGAAAGCCTTTTGAAGGTTTTTAGTTTGAGCCATCTTGGAGCTATCTTAGCTTCATTTTGGTAGGAGCTATCTTTTGACACGTATCGGGGCGGTCTTGGGACCTCGTTGGAAGCTACCTTTAGCCATATCGAGTTTATCTTGAGCCATGTGGGCGGACATTTGGGGCTATACGGAGCCATCTTCAGCTGTATTGGGCACTCCATTCCGTCGTGGCGACCACCCTCCAGCTGAGTCTGGGCCGGTCCAGGCTCACAGAAAAACCGGGCGAGATAATCCAGGCCGGTCCAGTCCTCGTCTCCTGTCTTCTTTTTTCCTTTTCCTCCTCTTCCCCCTCTTCCTCTTCTTCCTCCTTTTCCTCCTCTCCTTCCGGCTCCCCCTCCTTTTTCCGCCACGCCCCCCTGTCGTTTTCCGCAATCCCTACGCCCCCTGTTTCTTTTTCCACCATGCCCTCTGTCCTTCTCCTCTTCTTTCTCTCCTCCTCCTCCTCCTCATCCTAGTGGGCGTCAAAACCTCTGGGCGCCAGCCTAGAGCCCCCCAACGACTCCCCAAAAACCAACGACTCCACCAAAGCCGAAAGAGTTCTCCAGGAGTCGTTTGGTTTAAGGGTATTCGTTTGGTTTTTGGGAGTCGTTTGGTTCTGGGGGAGCCTTTAAGTTTGGGGGGTTCGTTTGGTTTTGTGGAGTCGTTTGGGTTTGGGAGAGTCGTTTGGTTTTGGGGGAGTCGTTTGGTTTTGGGGAGTCGTTAGGTTTCGGGGGAATCGTTTGGTTTGAGGGGGTTGCTTGGTGTTTTGGGAGGGGGGAGGGGGTCGTTTGGTTCTGGGGGGTCGGTTGGTTTTGGGGGAGTCGTTTGGTTTTTCGGAGTCGTTCGGTTTCGGGAGAGTCGTTTGGTTTTGGTGGAGGCGTTCGGGTTTTGGGGGAGTCGTTTGGTTGTTGGGGACTCGTTTGGTTGTGCGTTGTGCGGGAGTCTTTTGGTTTTGGGGAGTCGTTTGGTGTTTTTGGAAGTCGTTTGCTTTGATGGAATCGTTTGGTTTTTGAGTCGTTTGGTTTTTGGGGAGTCGATTGGTTTTTGGAGAGTCGTTTGGTTTTTGGGGAGTCGCTCGGTTTTGGGGGAGTCGTTTGGTTTTTAGGGCGTGTCGTTGGGTTTTTAGTCTGTCGTTTGTGTTTTGGGGGATGCGTTCGTTTTTTTCGAGTTCTTGTTTGGTGTTGGGGGAGTCTTTTGGTTTTCTTGGGGGTCGTTTGGTTTTGTGGGAGTCGTTTGTGCTTTGGGACGTCTTTTGGTTTTAATGAACTCCTCCAAAGCCACACGAGTGAGTCCTTTGGGGAGGTCGCTCGTTTTTTTGTGCGGCGTTTGGTTCTCGGGGAAGTTTGGGTTTTGGGGAAGTCGTTTGGTTTTGAGGGAGTCGCTGTTTTTTTTGGGGAATCGTTGGGTTTTGGGGAGTCGTTTTGTTTTTGGGGAGTCGTTTGGTTCCGTTTTTGCGGAGTCGTGTGGTTTTTGTTTTTTTTTTTGGTTGTGGGGCAGTCGTTTGGTTTTCAAGGATTCGTTTGGTCAAATATCCCCCCAACAGAAACACCAAACGAGTCCCCCGGGACTCGTCTTGGTTTGGGGGAGTCGGTTCGGAGGCGTTTGATTTTTGTGGAGTCGATTGGTTATTGGCGATTCGTTTGGTTTTGGTGGAATCGTTTTCTTTGAGGGGGGGAGGTCGTTTGGTTTTGGGGAGCCGACTCCCCGAACACTAAGAGAGACCCTCGGGACTGCTTTGGTTTTAAGGGAGTCGTTTGGTTTTGGGGGCGTCGTTTGATTTTTGGGGAGTCGTTTGGTTTTTGGGGAGCCTTTTGGTTTTGGGGGAGTTGTTTGTGTTTGGGGGAGTCGTTTGGTTTTGGGGAGTCGCTCGGTATTGGGGGAGTTGAGGGAGTCGTTTGGTTTTTTTGGGGAGTCGTTTGGCTCTGGGGGGAGTGGCTTGGTTTTTGGGGAGTCGTTTGTTTTTTTGGGGACTCGTTCTGTTTTTTGGGGCGTCGCTCGGTTTCGGGGGAGTCGTTTGGTTTCTGGGAGTCCTTTGGTTTTTGGGGAGGCGATTGGTCTTTGGGAAATCGTTTGGCTTCGAGGAAGTCGTTAAGATTTTGGCGGAGTCGCTTTGTTTTGGTGGAGTCGTTTCGTTTTTGATGTGTCGGTTGGGTTTGGCGGATTCGCTTGGTTTTGGGGAGTCGTTTGGGTTTGGGGGGGTCGTTTGGTTTGGGGGGAGTTGTAGTTTTTTTGTTGGGGGGGGGGGAGGGCGGGGTGAGGGGAGGGGGGGGACGGGAGGGGGGTGGTATTGGGTTTTGGGGGAGCCGTTCGGTTGTTGGGGAAGCATTTTGTTGTTTTTTGGGAGGGGTGCAGAGATATCGAACATATGCTTGCGCCTGTCCGCAACCATCTCGGCAAAAGAATTTATCATGGTAGCGAGAGCTGACCAGCCCCCTCCCCGCGTGGCAGCGGACCCGGCGGCCATAAACAACGGTTCGAGCTGGCCGACGAGCTGGCCGAGCGCGGCACCAGGCTGGTGCAAGACCGCTGGGCCCTGGTCGTGGGCCGCATCTCCAGGCTCGCATTCAAGAGGCGCTGCTACGGTCACCTCGGGCAGTGGTTGAAGCAGCTGAAGCAGCGCGGCCGTCTCCGGGATGACGGAGCAGCGCGTGGCGGCGCTAGAGCAGGTGGTCAGTGAGCTGCGGGACGTCAACCTGCAGTTCAGGGGCGCGCTCGATGAGCAGCGCGCGGTGGCGGCGGCGGCAGCACGGCCTCAGACGCGGGAGGTGGTTGACACACGGCTCATAGGGAAACCGAAAAACTTCAGCGGGAAGGACGACGATTGGCACCCGTGGTCGATAGTTACACGTGCGTACGCGGGCGCCATCAGCGAGCACCTTTTGTTCCTCATGGACACGGCCGAGTCGGCCGAGAGTGCGTCCAACGCAGCGCTGCATGACGACAGGGACAAGGAGTTCAGCATGCAGCTCTACTACATCCTCGCCATGCTCCTCGAGGGCAAGGCGGCGGACAAGGTTGCACTGGTCGGTCGGGGGCAGGGCCTTCTTCTCTGGCGACAGCTCACAGATCAGCAAAAAGGCAAGGCGGGGATGAGGACCACTGGGCTTTCCAGCAGGTGCTAGGCTTCGGATTCGAGTCGGACGACCTCCTGCAAGAGCTCGAGCGGTTTGAGAAGAAAATCCAGCAGTACGAGCATGCGTCAGACAGGCAGGTCGGTGACGACCTGCGCGTTGGCGTCGTCATCGAGAGCATCCGGCAGGAGGATGTCGCAAAGCATCTGATCATGAACTCCAACCAGCTCGACACCTACGACAAAGTGAAGGAAGATATAGTGGGCATCTACAGGACGAAGAAGTACTTGACTCAGAGCCCGGGTCCCATGGACGTAGGCGCGGTCGACTCCCGGCCTCGCTGCGACGTTTGCGGCAAGACTGGACGCAGTAGGCAACTGTGTTGGTGTCGAGGACGCCCTGGAGGCCGCGGCAAAGGCAAAGACGGCGGCTCGAAGGGCAAGAGCAAAGGCAAGGACAGGGGCTCGAGGTCTCGAAGGACAAAAGCAAGGACGGTAAAGTCGGAGGGGGGCGAGGTCACGGAGGCGGTGCTGGTACTGGCAAGGGCGGCGCCTCGGACTACTTCCGTGGCGATTGCGGGTTCTGCGGCATCTGGGGATGCAAGCGGTCGCAGTCCAGGAAGTTGCAGGCTGCTCGCGCCAAGGAGGGCAATCATCGTTAGGTGGGGCAGCTGGGCGACCAGCAGCAGCAGCAGCAGCAAGGACAGCTTCCTCCTCCTCCACCTCAGCCTCATGCCCAGTCTCGTTCTGCGGCGTCGACATCGTTGGCGCCCACCCAGCAGATGGGATGCTACTCGTTGCAGCTCTGCTTCCCGGAGGGTCGGGGAGGTGAGGTTTGCGCGGTCCACCGCAACAGGCGTGTGAAGATCGGCGTGGACTCGGGCGCGGGCGTGACGGTCTGGCCCGAGGATTTGCGCGACGACTACCCGACGAGGGACACTCCAGAGTCGAGGGCTGGGTTTGAGTACGTCCCTGCCGGCAAGGGCAGCAAAGGCATCGTCGACCTCGGCGAGCGGACGTGCAGCCTCACCGACGACGACGGCCAGCGCATGGACATGAAGGTGCACGTCTGCGACGTCCGCAAGCCCCTGCTGAGCATGGCTGAGATGAACGATCGGGGCCTGGACGTCCACTTCTACGCCGACAGAAGCAAGGGTGCGTTCTGCGAGCACTCGCACTCGGGCTCCCGGGTGAAGATCGAGCGAGTCAACGACGTTTTCGAGATCGTGGCCTACGTGGACCCATGGTCGGGGGGCATCGGGCAGGCTTGACCGTAAGACCCGACACGGGCATGAAGAAGCTGCAGGGGGGCCCCGTAACTTTGGTACCCCTGCAGGACCAACGAGATTCTCCGCCTGCTGACCGCGCTGGCCTGGAAGGCGGTGCGACGGCATGTTCGGCGGCTGCGCCACTTCTGTCTTCGCCGGCGCCCCCTCCTCTTCACAATTTGGGCGATGCTGGCGCCCCGATGCGTGGCGACTCGGAAGTCGGGCGAAGGTGCGAATTCTGGCGAGCCCGACGACACCAACTCCACGCGAGGTGGCCTGGCACAACTTGTGCCGCCTCCCACGCCGAACGTGGTGCAGGCACTGCGTGGCAGGCCGCGGCAAGGCCGACCAGCGTCGAGCCTCTGAGACCGACGGCCAGATCCCAGTGCTGCGCACAGATTGCGGATTCCTAGGCGAGAAGTCCGACGTCGAGAAGATCGAGAGCAAGACAGTGCCTTGCATCATCGTCAAGGATGGCCCGCCTCCCGCGGGCGCGCGCTGGGTGGGCGCCCGCGCCGTCCAGTGCAAGGGCGTCCAGCGCGAGTGCTCGTGCAAGATCGTGGCCCAGGTCATCATCCATACTGGCCGCGCCAAGTTCATCTTCAAGTCCGACGGCGAGGGCTCCCTCCTAGCGGTCACGGAGGCCGCGGTCCCGGAGGTGCGCCGCGCGGGCTGTGGGATCTCTGTGGCACCCGAGGAGAGCCCCGTAGGCGACTCCCAGAATAACGGGTACATCGAGCGAGCAATCTGGGAGGTCCAGAGCCTCGCGAGGGTCCTGGTCCACAGGGCGGTTGAGCTCCACAAGTCGAAGTTCCACGCTGCGCACCCTCTGGTGGTTTGGGCTCTTCGGTATTCGCTTCAGCTGCTGAATCGGTTCCAGAGGTCTGGCGACGACGGCAGGGCGGCGTTCGCGAGGCGGAAGGGCAGGCCCTGCCGCCGGCGGGTGCCGGAGTTCTGTGAGCTGGTGATTTTCTTGACCGTTGCCGACGGCAAACATCGGCGCGAGCTCGACGAGCGCTTCCACGCGGGCATGTGTGTAGGGCTCCTCGACCGCGCTGACGAGGTCATCGTGCTCACGAAGGACGGCGACTTCGAGGCCAACGCGATCCGGCGATTGCTGGAGTAGCAGCGGGGCGACAAGAGCTTCGCGGAGGCATGCAGGGGGCTCCCACGGCTGGGGCCCCACAAGACGGGCGACGACGACGCAGAGAGGATCGTCCCCTACCTGGCAGCTGCGCCGGTGGTTCCGGCGGAGGAGCTGCCGCCGCCGCTGGCGGGCAAGTCGCTAGCGGGGCCGAGGCGCGTCTACATCCGCCGGGGGGTCGAGGTCAGGCCGGTGGCGGAGGGCGGCTTCGGGTGCACCGACGGCCGCGGGGGCTGCGTGGCGGCTCGAGAAGGCAAGCCGGCAATGGCGCACTCCGAGGTTTGGCAGGGTTCGGGTCGAGCAGGCGATGGCGGGCAACACCGACGCCGCCCAGCGCCTGGCATGAGCGAAGAGGCGGAGGGGGTACGAGACGCCATCTCGCGCCTGGCCTGGCGGTCCGCGCCGGGCACTCCAGCGCCTATGCAGGTAGAGGCTGCCGGATCGGCGGCGGCTGCAGCGGCTCCTGCCGCGGAGGCTGACGCGATGTCCGAGGGCCCGAACCTTGGCCCGCCGGGCGACGTGGCCACCGAGCCCACGATGCTGGCCACCGAGGTGGGCACGACATCGCTAGGGTGGAGGATCTCAGCTCCACCGCGAAGGCCACCAACGCCGACTTGGTCAAGCTCGGCTGCAATCCGATCGAGTTGTCCCAGCTCGAGTCCGACCTGGCGAAGGTCCCTGAGGTTTCCGGGCGCGGAAGGTTCCTTGAGCGCGCGAGGGAGTTCGGCCTCTTGCCGGGCTTCGCGCTCGACCCCGGGGCGGGGTGGGGCCTGAACGTTCCAGTTCAACGAGATGAGGCGATGCGGCTCCTAGATCGAGGGCGGCCGCTACTGCTCATCGGCTCTCCGCGCTGCACAGCGTGGACGTCGCTCCTGGACTTCGGATCGGTGAAGGAGGAGACGATCGAGGGCCTCATGGCGGAGGCGATCGAGCACGTGGCCATGTGCGTCACGATGTACAACAAGCAGCTGGACGAGGCTCCGCACTCGGCGAGGTCAGGGCACGCCAGCGGCATCCAGGACCTCATCGTCAGGAAGGTCGTCTTCCACGTGGCCAATGACCAGTGCGAGGCCGGACAAACAGTTCCGGTCAAGCAACCCGACGGCAGCATGAAGGACGCGATCGTCCAGGGGCGCACTGGCTGGCTCACCTACTCTTTGTGCATCGCGAAGGAGCTCGCTCATTTCCAGAGCAGGAATCGGCACGGCGGCTACCGCGAGCACTACCACTTGCTCGACGGGGAGGCCAAGCACAAGGCCAACTACCCGCCGGCTCTCGTGGCGGCCATCCTGCGTGGCTTCGAGGCGCAGGTCGAGCTGGACAAGATGGCGAGCGGCATGGGCATCTCCGTGGGCAGCCTGGGCGAGGGCTACAACGTGGACGCCGAGACCCGCGAGATGCTGCGCATTCCCGAGTACGTGAACATCTGTGATGACGTGACTGGCGTACAGCTGCCCCCTGGGAAGGTGGCCGACGCGCGCGAGGCGGAGGTCGAGTTTCTCCATGGGATCCTTGTCTACAAGCATGTGGGCGCCTCCGAGGCGGACGGCCGCGAGATCATCGGTGCCAGGTGGTGGCCGCGAACAAATGCGACCACGCGAACGTGGACGTGAGGTCGCGGGTGTGCGCGAAGGAGGTCAAGTGGGGGAACCCGTGGCTCGAGGGCACTTTTGCTGGCACTCCGCCGTGGGGAGGCACCAAGATGGTGCTGAGCAAGGCCATGGCGAAGGCCAAGAACCCCAACGGTTGCTTCAAGAAGAAGAAGGTTCTCATCCTGGACATCCGAGGGCTCACTTCCATCCGCCGGTCAAGCGCAAGTTGTTCATCCGTATCCCTCCTGTGGACCGTGGCGGAGTGGGCCTACTGCTTCGCGTGATGTACGGTGTGGGGGGCGCGGCGGACGGCTGGGGGGAGTACCACCGGGAGAAGCTGGCCCTGGCCGGCTACGGGGTAGGCGTCTCCTGCCCCTGCGCCTTCACCAACTCCGACGGATCTTCGTCAGGTGTGGTGCGTGGCGATGACTTTGTCTTCGAGGGTGAGGAGTGGCAGCTCGACGCGATGGGGGCCGAGCTGCGGAAGCACATGCTGGCGCAGAGGAAGGCGCTCCTCGGTCCAGACCCCTCGGACGACGCGCGCGCGACGATCCTGAATCGGCTCATGTCCTACGTCGGCGGCGACATCGCCGCCGGGAGCAGGATCGCCATGGAGCCTGACCCTCGCCACGCACGGGTACTCGTTCATGAACTCGGCTTGGGCGGTGCTGGCTCCAGGGCGGCGACGGCGCCGACGGAGAAGGGCGCGTCCTACTGCGATGAGACTCCGCTGCAGGGCGACGAGGAGACGAAGGCATACAGGTCTTTGTGTATGCGGCTCGGCTTCCTCGCCCAGGACGCGCCCCGCCGGTGGTGCGTGGCCAGCGAGTTTTGCAATCGCATGGCCGGGCCCGCTACTGGCGGACTGGCCCGGCTCAAGAGGGTCCTTCGTTTCCTGAGGGGAGAGCCCCGATGTGCGCAGAACTTCGTTGAGCGGCGCCACGAGTGCAAGCGCGTAGACCTCTACTGCGACTCCGACTGGGCTGGCGACCCGATAGACCGCAAGAGTGTGAGTTCCGTTCTCGTGTTCTTTGGCTCTCACCTCTTGAAGAGCACGGTGGGCGCCCAGGGCGCGACTGCCCTGTCCCGCGGCGAGGCGGGGTTCACGGCCGCGGTGGAGGGCGCCTCAGTTGCCCTAGGGGTGCGCTCTCTTGGCGCAGACCTCGGAATGATGCTGCACCCTGTGATGCGCGCGGACAGCGGCGCCGCGAAGGGCATCGTCGGCAGGCGCGGCGTCGGGCGCATCAGGCACCTGCACACTCCTTTGCTCTGGGTGCTGGAGAAGCGGGCGAGGGGGGATAGTGACGTTTGGAAGACGCCGGGGGAGTCTAACCCGGCAGATCTCGGGACCAAGGGACTCGCGCGTGGACGTCGAGAAGCGCTTGAAGATTAGCGGCTTCGCCTTCGAGTCCGGCGAGCACCCGGGGGCTCTGGCGGCGCAGATCCCGGTGCCCGGTCAGATTGGTGGCTTGAGCGGCTGCGACCGTGACCGGGCGCCGCGTGGCGGCGAGGCGCTCCTGGCTGGGGGGCGCCCGAGGTGTGTTCTCAACGGGGCCTGGGGCGGCCGTGTCGGCGCGATGGCTGGCCGTTGACCCCGCGCTCCACTACCTTCGGAAAGGGGCTGGCTGAGCCCCGGGCGGCAGGCGCTTTCGGCCGAGCGCGCCTGGGGCAGCATGCGAGCTCGAGGAGGGCTGCAGAGATATCGAACATATGCTTGCGCCTGTCCGCAGCCATCTCGGCAAAAGAATTTATCAAGGGGGGTAGTCGCTTGGTTTTCGGGGCAGTCGTTCGATTCTGCTTCTCGTTTTTTTGGGGGTATTTTTTGTCTCTTGTAGTTTATGGATGTTTTTTTGGAAAGGATGTGTGGGGATGGGGTCGTTCGGTTTCGGAGGTGTCGTTTGGTTTTTTGGGGGCCGTTCGGTTTTTTGGAAGTCATTCGGTTTTTTGGGGGTCGTTCGGTTTCTGGGGGAGTCGTCTGGTTTTTTTCTGGGTTGTCGGGGGACGCGCTTGGTTGGTGGGGGGCCTTTTTTCCCAACCCTCCTTGGTTGGGTATTTGTTTTGAATGGAGGGGTGTGGTCGCGTCCTCCTCCCGCCACCCCTGTGGTCGCCGTCCCTGGGGGGCCCTCCCACCACCTCCCGCCTCCTGCTACCCTCTCTTCGCCGACGATGGGGGCTGCGATCTGCGAAACTGTCGCCAGTTTCGAGGGCTGCTGGTGGGTCCTGCCGAGTGAGGCACCGCGCGGGTCTGAGCAAGACCTCGCCGTGCCTGGGGGTTGCGATATGCGAAGCTGTCGCCACTTTCGAGGGCTGCTGGTGGGTCCTGCGGAGTGAGGCGCCGCGCGGATCTGAGTAAGACCTCGCAGTGCCTGGGGGGCTGCGATCTGCGAAGCTGTCGCCATTTTCGAGGGCTGCTAGCGGGTCCTGCGGAGTGAGGCACCGCGCGGATCTGAGCAAGAACTCGCCGTGCCTGGGGGGCTGCGATCTGCGAAGCTGTCACCACTTTCGAGGGCTGTTGGTGGGTCCTGCGGACTGAGGCACCGCGCGGATCTGAGCAAAACCTCGCTTTGCCTGGGGGGCTGCGATCTGCGAAGCTGTCGCCACTTTCGAGGGCTGCTGGTGGGTCCTGCGGGGTGAGACACCGCGCGGATCTGAGCAAGACCTCGCCGTGCCTGGGGGCTGCGATCTGCGAAGCTGTCGCCACTTTCGAGGGCTGTTGGTGGGTCCTGCGGAGTGAGGCACCGCGCGGTTTTGAGCAAGACCTCGCCGTGCCTGAGAGGCTGCGATCTGCGAAGCTGTCGCCACTTTCGAGGGCTGCTGGTGGGTCCTGCGGAGTGAGGCACCGCGCGGGTCTAAGCATGCCTGGAGGGGCTGCGATCTGCGAAGCTGTCGCCACTTTCGAGGGCTGCTGGTGGGTCCAGCGGAGTGAGGCACCGCGCGGGTCTGAGCAAGACCTCGCCGTGCATGGGTGGTTGCGATCTGCGAAGCTGTCGCCATTTTCGAGGGCTGCTGGTGGGTCCTGCAAAGTGGGGCACCGCGCGGATCTGAGCAAAACCTCGCCGTGCCTGGGGAGCTGCGATCTGCGAAACTGTCGCCACTTTCGAGGGATGCTGGTGGGTCCCGCGGAGTGAGGCACCGCGCGGATCTGAGCAACACCTCGCCGTGCCGGGGGGGCTGTGCGAAACTGTCGCCACTTTCGAGGGCTGCTGGTGGGTCCTGCGGAGTAAGGCGCCGCGCGGATCTGAGCAATACCTCGCAGTGCCTGGAGGGCTGCGATCTGCGAAACTGTCGCCACTTTCGAGGGCTGTGGTGGGTCCTGCGGAGTGATGCTCTGAGCAAGACCTCGCCGTGGGCTGCGATCTGCGATCGGAGGGCTGCTGGTGGGTCCTGCGGAGTGAGGCACCGCGCGGATCTGAGCAAGACCTCGCCGTGCCTGGGGGGCTGTGATCTGCGAAGCTGTCGCCACTTTCGAGGGCTGCTGGTGGGTCCTGCGGAGTGAGGCACCGCGCGGATCTGAGTAAGACCTCGCCGTGCCTGGGGGGCTGCGATCTGCGAAGCTGTCGCCACTTTCGAGGGCTGTTGGTGGGTCCTGCGGAGTGAGGCACCGCGCGGATTTGAGCAAGACCTCGCAGTGTCTGGGGGGCTGCGATCTGCGAAACTGTCGCCACTCGAGGGCTGCTGGTGGGTCCTGCGGAATGAGGCGCCGTGCGGATCTCAGCAAGACCTCGCCGTGCTTGGGGGCTGCGATCTGCGAAGCTGTCGCCACTTTCGAGGGCTGCTGGTGGGTCCTGCGGAGTGATGCACCGCGCGGATCTGAGCAAGACGTCGCCGTGCCTGGTTGGCTGCGATCGGCGAAAGCTGTCGCCACTTTCGAGGGCTGCTGGTGGGTCCTGCGGGGTGAGGCACCGCGCGGATCTGAGCAAGACCTCGCCGTGCCTGGGGGGCCAACATAGCGATCTGCGAAGCTGTCGCCACTTTCGAGGGCTGTTGGTGGGTCCAGCGGAGTGAGGCACCGCGCGGATCTGAGCAAGACCTCGCCGTCCTTGGGGGCATGCGATGTGCGAACCTGTCGCCACTTTCGAGGGCTGCTGGTGGGTCCAGCGGAGTGAAGCACCGCGCAGATCTGAGCGGACCTTGCCGTCCCTGAGGGGCTGCGATCTGCGAAGCTGTCGCCACTTTCGAGGGTTGCTGGTGGATCCTGCGGAGTGAGGCGCCGCGCGGATCTGAGCGGGACCTCGTCGTGCCTGGGGGGCTGCGATATGCGAAGCTGTCGCCACTTTCGAGGGCTGCTGGTGGGTCCAGCGGAGTGAGGCACCGCGCAGATCTGAGCGGGGCCTCGCCGTCCTTGGGGGGATGCGATCTGCGAAGCTGTCGCCACTTTCGAAGGCTGGTGGCGGGTTCAGCGGAGCGAGGCACCAGGCAGATCTGAGCGAGACATCGCAATCCTTGGGGGGCTGCGAGCCTCACGAATGCCGCTCGCAGAAATATATGCGCTCATGCCACGTCAGCACCTCCGTATAACGTCTCCCAGGCTACTCATGTCCCGCATTGCGCATGGGTTGGGTACGTCGCCAGGGTATTTTTTGTGGGGTGGGGGGGTGGGGGGGCGGGGTCGATTGGTTTTGGGGAGTCCGTTGGTATTTAGAGAGCCGCTTGGGTTTTGGCGGGTTTAGGGGGGCCTTGGTTGTGCATTTTTGGGAGGGGGGGGGGGGTCGTTTGGTTCTCGGGGCGTTGTTTGGTTTTGGGAGTCGTTGGGGTTTTCGGGGGTCTTTTGGTTTTGGGGAGTCGTTTGGTTTGTGTGTGTGTGTGTGTGTTTTTGAAGGGGGGGGGCGCCCGTTTTTTTTGGGGTCGTTCGTTTGAGTTTCGGGCAGTGTCGCTTGGTTTTCGGGGAGTCGTTTGTTTTTTGGGGGTCCTTTGTTGTTTTTGGGGGTGGGGGGGTGGGTGGGTAGTGTCTGTTTTTTTTGTTGGGGGGGGGGGGGTCGTTTGGTTTTTGGCGGGTCGTTTGGGTTTGGGGGGCCGTTTGGTCGTTTGGTCTTTGAGTTTTTTTGCAACAGTTTTTTTTTTTGGGTGGGTGTGGGGGGGGGGGGGGTAAGGGGGGCTGTTTGTTTTTTTGGGGGGGTCATCTGTTCTTTTGGGAAGAGAAGTCGTTTGGTTTTGGAGAAGTCGTCTGGTCTTTGGGGAGTCGCTTGATTTTAGGGGAGTCGTCTGGTTTTCGGTTTTTGGGGAGCCGTTTGGTTGTTTGGTCTTTGAGGTTATTTGATGTGTTTCTTTTTTCGGGGGGGGGGGGCTGTCCTGTCCTCGGGGAGTCGTCTGTTTTTTTTGGAGTCGTTTGGTTTTGGAGGAGTCGTTCGCTTTTTGGGGGTTCGTTTGGTTTGGGGGAGGCGTTGGCTTTCTTCGGGGATCGTTTGGCTTTTTTCTTTTTTTTTTGGGGGGGGGGGGGGGGTCGTTCGGTTTGGGGGGGATCGTTTCGGTTTGGGGGTCATGTGGTCCTCGGGGGGTCGTTTGGATTTTGGGATTCGTTTGGTTTTTGAGGACTCGTTCGATTGTTGGGGGGTCGTTTGCTTTTTCGAGATTTCGTTTGGTTTTTGCGGGAGCCGTTCGGTTTTTGGGGAGTCGTTTTGTTTTTTTGGGGGCGTCGTTTGGCTTTGGGGGAGTCGTTTGGTTTTGGGAGGGTATTTTTTCCGTCTCCTTGTTATGTTTTTGATTTCTTTCTTGGGGGGGGGCGGGGGCGGGGTCGTTCGGCTTTGGGGAGTCGGTTCGTTTGGTTTCGGGGGAGTCGTTTGGTCTTGGGGGTGTCGTTTGGATTTTAGGGAGTCGCTCGATTTTTGGAGGATCGCTTGGTTTTGGGGGAGTCATTTGTTGTGTGTGTGTGTGTCATGGAGTGCAAGTTGGGGGGGCCGAGATACGACGCCTGTACCCAGACCCTTTGCTGCCTGCCCACCGGCACCTGCCGCTAATGGGCACGACAGGGCACGGTGCGTGCCGCCTCCTGATCAGACCCTGGCCCGCCCCGCCACCGACCCAGACGCGGCCCGCGCTGATGCGCTCCCAAGGATCGGACCTCCAACTCTCACCACAGACCGGGTCGATGACCACATCGGCCCGATGCGAGCGATCGCCCCCGCGGCGCCCCCCCAATGATGCTCGGACACGGGCAACAGGGCGGGACCCGCAACGTCGACGCCCGCATCGACCCAGGCGAATACATCATTATGGCAGTCTTCTCTGGAGGGCACGTGGTAGTACAGGCCGCGGGAGAAACGACCAACTACATGCCTACGTTGCCCTGCTGGTGTACCGTCGGCCTCCCAGCGACGGCGGACACCGCGGCCGCCGCGCTCGGATACGCTCCGCCTGTGCACATCCACGCCGAGGCCGTGGTCGGCGACGTATGGATCGCCAGAAGGACGTGCGACCACCCACCCCCGCCCACGCCAGAAGCCCTGGGGTTAGCCGAGCCGCCTCACCCCCCACGCGGGCGACCCAGACAAGGCAC